CGTTTTCATAAAACTCATTTTGTATTAAAGGGGAAAAATGGATTTCTGAAAGTTTTATTCAGATACCATGAGAAAGAAAATCACAGGCAATCAGGCGAAGAATCATTCCTTAGGTAGAAAGTCCAAAAGCTCACTTAATGTCCATGCTATTCTCTCTTTTAGAGAGAATGTCTTGCAATACCTTGCAAATGTAAGATATTGTTATGTGTCCTTCTAAGATCTAGTGAGGAAATCAAATTAAATGTCAGTGTAGTGGCCATGCAAATCAGGATAAGAAGGTTCAGACACCAACAGTGAATGCTGAGGTTCATCATGCAAGTTCTAACTCCAAGCACCCCTTGCCTTCCTAGAAAGAGGCCAATGGATATGTCCATAAGATGGCTTTGTCCTTTAAAGAAAGACCTTCTGAGCAGAGAGGAGTCCCATAAGAAAGAAGAAAGATGAATGCTATGTTACAAAGGAAATAGATCAACTGGTATGACAGAATGAAAGCAAAAAATTATCAATTTTTAAGACAACAAAGCTGAAAAAGAAAAATACAATTCAAGGATCCAAAAACAGGGTGCTTTTTTCTTGGTGACATGCTTTTTATATTACTTGAGTCTATATTTTTCTGTGCCTGGGAATATACTTTTCAGATTTAACTAAATCCAAGTAATTAGCTGCACAGCACATCCTTATCTGTATTTCCCTCAAACAGCTGCAGTGGGTACTCCAGAATAGGCTAATTTGAAGACAAGTTAGGTGACAGAGCTGGAGAAGCAGCAGTAACATTTGGAAATGGAATGGTTTGAAGATTAAAATGAAATGATGCATATTCATAAGGTAAATTAGAACCCAGCTCATAGTTATATTACAAATGATAACTCTCAATTAACATACATTACAACCAAGGTGTAAACTGCATAAATGGTCATAATACATCCCACTACCTCTAATCAAGAAGTGGACTCTGTTTCCACATCTTTGGATTTGAGTGGTATTACAACTTCTTCATCTAGTGGGTGGTGGCAAAAAGAATGCTGTACCAATTTTGAACATAGACCCAAAAGTATCTTTCAGGTTCTCTCCAGCATCTTCTTTACTTCTCAGAATCTGCCAGCTCCTTTTGAATAAGGCCCAAATCAGGGTTTCCTTCCAAATGAAGGAAAACACAGCTATTGCTTTTGCTCTATGCAGCAATCAGCCAGTCTCCACGTGTGGAATCACCTCATTCATCTGTAGCTGACCACAGATTCATGAGTGGGCACAAAGAACTGTCCAGCTGGTCCCAGGCCAAATTGCCAACCCACAGAATTATGAACTAAACACATGATGGTTATTTCAAGCCACACAGTTCCGGGTGACTTGTTACACAACCAAAGATCATAGGTAGAATCTAACAAGCCTTATACAAACACTACTGACACAATTTGCCCATTTTTTATGGAGTATGAGTTAGGTGCTAATTAATAAGCACACTGGCAAAGATTGGTGCGAGGAGGAGAAAGAACTCTCCAGTACACAAAGTGTAGCATGAAATCCAGAAGTGATGCATGCCACCAAGGCTTGGACAACTTAGTGAGGGATCGATATTCCAAGTCATCTATCAAGACTTGTCTGTGCAGAAGCTGAAGTTAGACAGGAGAAGCATTTCAGGTAAAAGGCATGGTAATGTTATGAGCAAGTGAAAAGGCAAACAGGTTCAAGGGCTAATAGTAGCATAAGGTGAGGTTCATCATGGAATGGCAAGAAATGAGACTAAAGACGTCAGTAAAATGCAGGCCAACAAGAGCTTCGGCTGTCCCCATCAGTGGCTTGGATAGAAATGTATTCCTACATAGCTATCAAATAAGAAGGCCCATCAAAACCATCTGGTGTTGACTCTGCCAATGGAGATTTTGAGCACCTTATCACTCATTAAGGACGCGTAATTCCAAAATGGCTAGATGAAGCTTAATCAGGGCTACAGAATCTTTTAATTTTGCATATTGAATATGTAATGTTGGGAGGCTCTGAGGCCTAGTCTTTGAAAAAGAGTATTATGAAACACCACTCCCACGGAGTACACCTGAGCACAGATGTTAGCATCAAAATGACGTATTCTAAAATACAAGAAAACCACAGCTTCCTGGGCCGATAGCTGGCAGAATCCAAGGTTGGAGTAGGCTGAGCCTAAAACCTCTTGAACCAGAAAACAGCAGAACTACCAAAAATGAAAAAGAAAAAGAATGGATATATTCCGAAAGACACAGGAGTGAACAGGTGAAAGCTGGGGATGCTGAGCAACAAAATAAACACAAATCGCAATAAATCATGCCTGTAGCCATGTACCATATCACAGAGAGGTGGAGAAAGAAATAAGTAGATCCATCAATGAACAAGAGAGTTATAAAATTCCAACAAGAAACAGTATTATACATTAAAACAGAAAATTACTGTTTGGCAAACAGAAGAAATTATTTCAGGCAAAAGAAAATATCCATGGTTCTGATGTAAGTTCATTAGTGGTAATACGACATAAACAAATGTGCACATACTCTCAAACTGTTTCCCAGGGGACACCTAGACATACACTGTCTGGCAGGGGAGGTACTCAGCAGACACCACCCTCACCAGGCTGCTCAGACTTAATGTTTCCTGCCCTGGAGCACATGGACGTCACAGCCTTTATGTTCAGGGCACTGAGCAGGTCACAACCTCACTGTGGTTTCCTTGCCAAAGATGACAAGGAAATACAAACAGGAGGAAGCACAAGAGCTTCACCGGCCTGGCGTGAGAGTCGCCGGGGGCTTCACATGTATTAAATGCACATTCCATTTGGCCTATCTCCAGTTTGCAAAGAGATTCATTTAAAGACTTTAAGAAGAAAAATTGCAGGATGAGCAATGTGTCTGGAAGAGACGAAATGTGCAGCAGGGAGAGGGGAGAAAATGAAGGGGGTGGAACAGATGCTACAGGAGAGCCGGTGCCTGTGAGGAACCATCACATTATTTCAGACACAAAATCATAATCATTGCAACCAGGGTAATGGCCACAGAAATGGAGACAGGACAGGGAGCAGAGGAGTAACAGGAGAAAGAGTCCAAGTGGTCTGTCCATCCATTGACTGAGAAGGTGCTGGAGAAGGAGGGAAAGAAGGATCTCTATTCACTATGCAGGTCACATAGGTGTCTAGGCAGGAGACAAGTTAATGGAAGGAGAGTGAGTAATGGGAGTTACCTGTTGGAGCAATGCTTGGGGTATGATTGAGATATCGTAAAGAGAATGTCTAGCACACAGCAGGAAAGGTGAAATTGGAATCAGGGAGAGAAGGATTACACAGAGGAGTGATTACATTGGACAAGAAACTGAGTTTAAAGGGAATGGGTAACTTGTCCAGTGTTGCAAAAACCATTTACGGAAAAGAACAAGTGTTTAAACATAATGCTCCTAAGTTCAGATGTCTCTTGTGGCCCTCCAGAAATTCTGTGATATTTAGAGGAACTCTCCAAGGGGCTTACAGAAAAACAGTTGTACACTTTTGCAACCTCAGTTTCTAAGTGCAAAAAAAAAGAAAATCAGACTCGTGCAAAATTATTAGCAAGTCATCAAAACAATCAAAAGACTTGGTGAAGGGCCTTTCCATCTGAGTGCCATCTCAAAATCTGGACTGCGTTTAAAGGTCTCAGGGGATTCTGACAGTGGCTGTGGTGGAAGGTCAGAGCGTAGGCAACCTCTACGACCATCTGCTCAAATGACCTCCTTTTACAAACCGGCTATCTGCACCTGCAGACGCAAGCATTCATATATGTGAAGCAGAAGGGAAAGACTCCGACGTACATAACTTAATGTCCTGGGGACCTCGTGGGAGATTTTTTTGGAGCAGTCAAGAGCTAGACTCTTCAGTCTTAATTCCCTGTATCAACTGAAAGTGCTCATCTAAAGACTATCATCCTTTGCATAAATCTGAATTTATATACCATAGCACAACCTGGGTCAGCTCTTTGGATAGGCAAAGGACACCTCTTTCTACCTATGAGGGCCAAAGATAAAATAGCCTTGGCAGGAACAGAAGGCTGGGAAGGAGCTACTGATCACTAGTGCTAACTGGCCATTCCCACAGCACCCCGGCCTGTGAGTGAGGAGGGCTGTTCTTGAGCCTAGAATCTCCATCTCCCATCTCCCCCCTGCAGTCAGGGAAGGTGATAGAGCCAAGCAGCAGAGCTGCTCAGCCTCTTGGCAGACCAAGTACAGTGCAAGAGAAAACGCTCCATCATTTTAATGCATTGAACACACTGAATACACTCATATAGTGAATGAAATCATCATGTGCATGTATACAAATGTCACAAAGTACCCCCCCACATTGTACAACTTATATAGGCTAACAAAAAAATGTTTTTTTAATATTGAATGAATATACGATGAAATAAGTAAGCCTATTCCCATTAAATAACTTGTCTTACGTCTGATTCCTGCAACAACCGTGAAATAGATATCTGCATATTGGAAAAATACATATACAAAGACATATTCCTTACGTAAATGGTGTTTGTCTTAAAATTACCACAGCTGAAGTAATTACCATCTTAAATCCTTCCTAACCACAGTTCATTACATACTCTAAGGAAAGGTTTCATTATTGTTGTTTATTTATTTATGCTCCTTAAAAGGAGTGAAAAATAAACAAATCTCTAATTCAGATGCTCTCAGATCTGCTTTCTTGCAATTATAATACAAATTTACTTAAGATGCTGCTTGCCTCAAACCACCCCATTTTCCCAGTAGATGTTTCATGAGGCTTGTTGGGAACAGCTGCACACTTTGGAGCTGGGCAGAAGTTCAATGAAAGGATTACAGCTTGGGGCTAACTCTGGGAGAGAGAGAGGGCTCAGGCTTCGCCTTTCCCCGCCACATTCTTTCCTTCTGATTGCCATTTGGTTTCCATTATTTTTGCCTCTCTACCATGCCTTCCTTTTCTGTTTCCTATTGAATAGAATTGCAAATTATAGGGGAGAAAAAAAGTAGTCTGATCTTACCAAAGAAGTTAGTTCTCTCAAGTCCTTCCTTTCATTTCAACTTGGTTCCCAGCTCCAGCTCCTCCCTTCCCAAGACCTTAACTTTAATTACTCTACAAGGTCCAAAGTCTGCCACAGAGACGCTTTGACTCATTTAGGAACTAGCTTGCTGGCCTTGACCTCTTCCTGTCTCTCATGCAAAAGGAGAGAAAGAGGAAGTGGCGCTGTGGCTTAAGTGGAGATCACTTGCTTTGAGCTGAAGAGCTGAGGGACAGCGCCCAGGCCCAGAGTTCAAGCCTCACAACCAACAAAAAAAAAAAAGGAGAGAGGTTTATGAAAGGGCAGACAGGCAGGTGGGTGCATGTCTGGAACCCCAGCACTGAGGAGGCTGAGGCAGCAGGGTCATTGGGTGTCAATGGCTTATGCCTGTAATCATAGCTGAGGATCACAGTTCAAAACTAGCTCAGGCAGATAAATCTGTGAGACACCTATCTCCACCTAAACATCAAAAGGCCTGAAGTAGAGCTGTGGTAGAGTACCGTCCTAAGAGACAGTGCCCAACACCAGCTTAAAAACTCCAGAACCAGCACAGAGGGAAGAGGGACAACAACTCAGCGAAGACTAAAAATCGGAACAAACACTGGTCGTCATTGCCTTTTGTTTTCATCAGTGTTTCTCCTTTTGCTTTTCTACTTCCAAAATGTTCATGAAAACTAGGAATTTCTGTTTTTCAAGAAAAATTGCCATGTTAAGCTATAGTCAAGAAATCTAGTAACAACTGATGCTGGAGGGGATGTGGCCAAAAGGGAACCTTACTGCATTGTTGGTGGGAGTGTAAACTTGTTCAACCACTTTGGAAAGCAGTATGGAGGTTTCTCAAAAGACTCCACATAGAGCTCCCCAGCAATCTCACTTTTGGGTATCTACCCAAACGATCACAAACAAGGCTATACTAAAGCTACCAGCACAACTACGTTTATCGCAGCATTATTTACCATAGCTAAGATATGGAAACAACCCAGATGCCCCCTCAATTCACCAATAGATGACTGGATCAAGAAAATGTGGTATATATACACAATGGAATTCTATGCCTACATTAGAAAGAATGGCATCGCCCCATTTGTTAGGAAATGGAAAGACTTGGAAAAAAATTATATTAAGTGAAGTAAGCCAGGCCCAAAGAAACATAGGTCCCATGGTTTCCCTTATCTGCAACAACTAGTATATGTCTAGGACAAGCAGAAGAGGTCAAAAACTATGTACATAGGACCATATAACCTGGTGCTAAGCGAAATGAACCCCAAGATAGGGGCACAGAGGTTTTATCTTTGTTGCTGTTCTTCTTAATGTACTTATAATGTACTATGTGATTTTTTTGTTTCTTTTGTATGTTCTTCCCCCATGGTATAACCCCTGTTTTCACTGTATTTGATTCTGGTGCCCTGCATCTTGGTTTTTATTTTTTGTCTGTCATGGGTCTTGAACTCTGGGCTTGGGTGCTATCCCTTAGCTCTTCAGCTCAAGTCGAGCACTCTACCTCTTGAGCTACAGCACCGCTTCTCTGCATCTTGAATATACATTTTTTTTTCTAATTTAGGGAGGGGAAGGGAAATAACAAAATGCTGAAATAAGGATACAGGATGACCCATTGTAACAATGAGATGTACAAGACACTGTTGAAAATGAACTTTACAACTTAACAGGGTTGGGGGTAGGGAGGAAGGAATTGAGGAGGAAAGGGATGGTAGAGGAAATATAAAGGAGGGTGTAACAACGCTTGATAGGAAATGGACTCATTACCTTACTATGTAACAGTAACCCCTCTATACAGTATCTTTACAATAAAAAATACATATTTTTAAAAAATTGCCATTTTAGAAAAGCCAGTTGTGGTAGCTTAAGCTTGTGATTCTAGCTACTTAGAAGGGATGTGGATTGGAAAATTGCTAGTATGGTTCCCCAAAAAACCACTTCTAGACTTGTCAAAAGCAATGGCATGGCACTTTGCAGGTGACAAGGGCTAGTACCTGCAGGAGGAGTGCAGCCTAGCAGCCCAGCCCAGCCTTAAGTGAGACCTTACCTTGAAAGGTGACCAGTAGAACAAGGGCTGGGGACATGGCTCAGGCAGTAGGGGTCCTGCTTAGTGAACATGAGCCCTGAATTTGATCCCAAGTACCAGTGAGGCCTAAGACTCCAATACCTGGTACCAGCAAGGAAAATAAGTTTTTGACAGCTCTTCTTTAAAAGTCTGGTGTCTTTCTCATCACCAATAAGGTTGGTACAGAAAGAACACATTAATAATCCTGTTAGATCAACGCAGATATATTTAACAGCTACTGAAGATTCTATTACTTGATAAAATGTACTTCAGTATATAAATCAGAACCACTCAGGATTGAGCTAGAATTGCTTCTCAGTTGGAAAAGAGATACTTTTTAACTTCTCAGTAGGCAATAATCCAGAGGAGAGACTTTATAGGCATGAAGGGAAATGAATATGATAATCTCAAGGCTTACTAATACCGATAGGTCAGAAGACTTGATCTTTCTACATCTAAAAATTTTATTTGTGCAAGAATTTTAAAATGAACTAGATGTTGTGATACTTGCTTAAAGGTTTTAGATAAATAAGAGTTGATTGATTAGTCAATTATTTAAGTAGCCCATTTGATTTTTTTTGTATAAAAGCATGAATGAAGAAAACTGCATATATATAATATTCTGTCTATCTGCCTTACAAATTCTAGATGGTTATTAAATAGCGGGAAGGAAAGGGAAAACTACCTAATGTTCTTCATTTCAATTTTGACATATTTGGAAAAGGTAAAGGCTAGTCCTCACCACTGCTTCCTCAATTCCACAGCCTCCTAGAATGGACCATGTCAGCTTCTCAGCAACGTCACTCATTTCCAAGACAGCAGAACCATTTTCCAGTTTGAAAACCTGTTTGGAAAAAGATTTTCCTTATATGGCCCAATAAACCATCTGCCATATCTAGGTTTTAAAATATGTACCAAACAACAAAATGAAAGGAATAAAAATTTAGGGGAATGACATCAATAAAAGATTATATCATTAGGGACAGATACAGGAAAAGAACAGCAAATAAACGGCAAAAATCCATACCAAATGCAAATGAGCAAATGAGGATTTTTTTGTGGCTAAAAAGAACATCCCCTCTCTGTTTAAATATACTCCACTCCATGAAGAAGTGGTCTACTTACTTGTGTTTATTAGCACTCACATAGTACTATGTGCCAGTTCTGTTCAAAACACTTTGTAGCAATTAAGTCGCTGCATTTGCATAACATGAGCTGCAGAGGTAGACACTGTTCCAGATGGGAAGAATTGAACAAAGAAGCTTGTGTTCAAATCCAGGCACTCTGACACAAGATTTTCACCCCCAAAAACACACTATTAAGGCACTTTGTGATTGGCTCCTTCCTCACATATAATCATAAAAATTTCTGTAAGGTTCTGGTAACTCAAAAAATTGGGTGTATATTCTACAACTGAATTCCATGTCCAAGTCATTACTAACATCCAAATTCATACTTTGATGTTCATTGCATATATATACTTCTCTTCCTGGAGAGCTCTCATATGAAAGATGAACCATGCTTTCATTCTTCCAGTGATTACAAAATATACAGTGATTAGATCTGTTTATATATATAGCTGTATATATATGCATATATATATATATATAATAGACACACACACACACACACACACGACAGATGTCACCTCGCCTATAAATTTCCTATCTGTAGCAAGTGCATATGTAATAAAATAAAATTCAACATGGTATTGCCTCTCTTGCTTCTTGAAAATATGCTTCATTGTTTTGGCTTTTAGTATCGAGGTATGAGAATCAATAAGAATCCTTCCCCTTGCCCTGGAAAATGTATAGAAATTTGGGAATGAATAATAAAATCAAGGGAAAAAAAGCCTTGCCTCCTTCTAGAGAATGGCAACATGTACAGAATAAATCATAACATTCCTCAGTACTTCGTCTTGTATTTTCTTCTTCTATTTCTTATCAGCTAATCAGATACTGATTTTCAGTGATGTTAATAATATCTTCTCTTGCTAACAATGACATTGCAGGGCATCGCCTGCTCCTTCAATCACTGAATGCCCATTTGCAAATTAACCTACAACAGCCATTACATTTGTTCCTGTAGCCACTGAACATTTTCAACACACTAGAAAAAAGTAACATTTCATTGCAACCTTTCATGAGGAAGTAATAACTCTAATATTATTAAAAGTGTTAGTTTTAGGGGTAAAGATCCTATACAAACTAAAAGTTGAGTAACTGAAGATAATTTTTAGCTCTCAGTTTTCATTTGAGCTGTTTACTTTTTACCCCACCAACCAAGTCACCTAAGCAATATATTTAAAACTTTACAGTTGTATACATTTAAAGTACATACTGTGATTTTTTGGTAGGTATATTCTTAGTCATATAATTACTACAATCAAACAGATTAATCTATCTACCAAGTCTATTAGATTTACTTATGTGAAAGAAGTACACTAATTCATGATTATAGACAATGATAAATGAGTAAGAATCTGTTGTTTCATTTATTAAAAATCTCTATTCTTGTCATCTCTATAAATTTCTGCATAAATAGCATAATTACTTTACTGTAATAATAATTCAAATAAATATAGTTTTACATCTATCTACAGATAAAAAATACTGGCACAATCAATAAAAAAGTAAGTTTTATTAACAGCTAGAGTTAGGCAAAATGATACCCCGAGGATTTTGATACAGGAATGTCAAAGAGCTCATAAGAATCAGATTATTCCAAAAGTAAAGACAGTACCTATTGAAGGCAGAAAGAATCATTACTCCAAGGCCGTACTGGGTTGCACAAGAGAACTTGCCTCAAAAAACAATCTTAAAAAAATAACCCCTTAGTGTCATGGTGAGCACTTGAAATACCAGCTACTGGAGATGCAAAGGGAAAAAGGGCAAAAGTATCCTATCTTACCTTTTAAAGAAAAGGTAACAATGTTGAAAGGGATGACATCGATCTAGATGCATTACAGTCATACACTGCTTTGTTAAGTGTCAACTCCTTTG